TTTAATATCTAAATGGAACCTTTACTGATCGAAATTCGTAGAAAGGATGGGATATTTTACCCTTCAGATTGTACTTTATTACAGAGTCAATTAAGAAGTAATTGCGATGACAGAAGAATAAATTTCTTTAAAGACGATGATTTTGATTATCGTGAGTTGAGACAAAACTCGAAACTCAGTCAGTAAAGCTACAATACTTCGGTTTGGTGGTCCTGTTTTATTTTTTTTTTTCTCTACAAGAGACAAAATACTTGAATAAACTTTTCCTAGTGATTTTAATTGCATTTTTTTCATCTCTTAATCCAAGGTAAAGACAACTATTGTTGCTTTAACAGCCTTTAGTAAAGCTGAACACGACTCAGAAATAGGCATACGCCATTTTCGGTATCATTATCTACGATACATCAACACCAGGGTAAACTCTTCAGATTCGTTGCACTTGACTGCTTTATTGTCACGAGTATCGGCGTGGAGTGGCGACCCGTGTTCAAGCTGGTCATCTTGCATTACCTTTGTTTACATTTTATTGCAGTTACCATCTCCGCTAGCCAAGGGTTTCTGTTACGCTACTCTCCTCATGAACCCTTAGCATACGGTGAAGTCAAAAGACGGGATTGTTTTCGTCACGTGATCTCGAATCAATCAGGTACGCATAGATTGCGTCATCGACAGAAATAAAGACGCGTCTTTAACAAAAATTACTGAGTAAATCAAAGTTTTTTTTCAAGAAAATTTAAGAAGCAGTAATTGAGTTATTCATGTTTATTTATTATTTATAGTACAAATCGGAAGCTTCAATATAGATTCTTAATCACATATCAAGAAGATATTAGATGAAACCATATCTATTCATAGAATTGCATGTTATCTTACGGATAGTTGTTTACTTGCGTTTTTCATTTCCGAGACTAAAGAGTCAAGAGGAATCCCGAACGCAAATACTGTCATTTACAAATAACAATTGCTGATGGTTCGACCGATCGAGAAAAAATAAACCCAACTTCTATGAAACCGTATTCCAAGGGTTTATGAGGAGAGGAGCGTGTCAGAAACCCTTGACTAGCGAAAATGTGCAGTAACGTGTATTTGTGTTTGTTTGTTTACTGCACTGACCTGTAAACTATAATTGTAAGTTTCTTTGCTATCTTACTCTCCTGCATTAGACGAAGTATTACATTATTATTGTCGCTACCGAGTGCTGTATAACATACGTCCGTCTACGCCGGTGTCGACTGATTACACCGAAAAGAGAATGTCTTGCCCTTTGATTCTCCAAACAAAAATGGCGGAGACATTCCTTTTACGAACCGTCTTCAGCTTTAAGTAAAGTAAGACAGAACAGACAGACAACAAAGCACCATGACAAAACGAGTGCTGCTGCTTCTACAACCCTTGTGAAAATGACACCTTTGTCAACAACAAGAACCACTATAGAACAACAGTAACATGTTCTTCGTTTATGTTTTCCGCAAAATGTTGCGCTGTGGCGGAAAAGAAGTAAGGGGTCGCATTATGTCAAGATTCGCATTCCCATGCAGGACATAGAGTTTAGTCCATTTCATGAAATCGTATAAGGAGTAAAAAGAAACGGAGATATGTGTCACAGCATCGGTCCTGCATGGCACAAAATAAATCTTAAGAGGCCCAAAGGTTGAGTACAGATCTTCATCTCCGGCAAGTGCTTGTATGACAAAAATCTAAATTTTCATTAATATAATAGAAAATTTCGTGTTAATTTATAACAAGTTTACTTGATAAGTTAGTGTATATAACTCTTCCTGGTACGACTTGTATGACGACATCGTGTAGGGAATAAATTAACTTGTACGTATTTGAGTCGGAAAATCGGATATTTTAATCATGTTTTAGCATTCAGTCATTAAAATTACCAATGATTTAAGAAAATAAAATATATGGAGAATAAAGAGAATTCTGTCTTGTATTATTACAGAATACCAGGTATGTAAAAATATGTAAGAAGGAACCGTATCGACCATATATATGTGAAGAGCAGGTAGCGAATCAAATAACATGAGCATACCATAGGCGCTCCCCACGTTATTCTGTAAATGACGTATGATAAGTATATATAGGTCTACCCCTGTATACTATAAAAAACTCGGCGCCATTGTGGATTTTGCCTGGGACCTCTGACTGACTAACTTCAAGGATTTCTGGGGTATAGTGGGCTGTTAATCAGCATCGGGTACTCTAATTTATTGAAATAAAATATTTGCAAGCTTTTATCCAGCACCATTCCGTCGCTTTCTCTTGTTTTCAAACATTTCTCTATTACTCCGTCACACATAGCTGATCTCGGCCGGAACAAGTCAATTTCGTCGATTTTCAACAACTCGTTCAAAAATAACTTTCGGAAGTTTGAAAATATAAGTGGGGGAAAGTACATAGGTGCTTGGTTTCAGGATGGTGTATTTTGTGTATTATGTGTTTTTTGGTGTGTCTGAATACCCTCATCAAAATAAAAATGAAAATTCGCTGAAATTAGCACGTTTTAAAATTGCCATATTCCTTCGATTTTTTTTTTCTCTCTGAGGTACAGTTTTTTTTGTTTTCTGTACACAAGCCTCTTTGAGAAAATAAAAAATAGTATCTCGGAGAGAGGTACTCATTTTTCTAACTGATTTATTTTCTCTACACAAGTCCATATGAAACAGGCACGTAGCAACAGGTGGGGGGGGGGGGAAAATTTTTTTTCCCAACATTACCTTTACCATTGAAAATTGAGAGGTTGCATGGTTGCCCCCCCCCCATTTCTTACCATAGTAGGATGATATAAAGGAAAATGTAGTATTGTATTTAAAAAAAATGGAAGTAAAAGGAAATTGGTCTTAAAAAAATTGGCCACTACCTCCCCCCCCCTCCCCCCCGAAAAAGCATTTTCGAGTTTGAGGGTTTTTTTTGTTTTTGTTTTGTTTCGTTTTTGTTGCTTGTCAAGTTTTACAGGTAAGTGGATTTTTTTTCTCTGGATGCCCCCCCCTTCCCACTTTCAGAAACGATGCTACATGTATGCCTGTGAGAGTATATGAGTATATATACTGTAAATATGGCAATTTTAAAACGTGCTAATTTCAGCGAATTTTCATTTTTATTTTGATGAGGGTATTCAGACACACCAAAAAACACATAATACACAAAATATACCATCCTGAAACCAAGCACCTATGTACTTTCCCCCACTTATATTGTCAAACTTCCCAAAGTTATTTTCGAACGAGTTGTTGAAAATCGACGAAATCGACTTCTTCCGGCCGAGATCAGCTATTTGTGACGGAGTAATAGAGAAATGTTTGAAAACAAGAGAAAGCGACGGAATGGTGCTGGATAAAAGCTTGCAAATATTTTATTTCAATAAATTAGAGTACCCGATGCTGATAAACAGATAACTATACCCCAGAAATCCTTGAAGTAAGTCAGTCAGAGGTCCCAGGCGAAATCCACAATGGCGCCTAGTTACAAGTCTTGGATATTTTATAGTATATAGGGGTAGACCTATATATACTTATCATACGTCATTTACAGAATTACATGGGGAGCGCCTATGAACATGAGTATATACCGCCGCAAGTTTTGTTTTTCCTTGTATGACAGTCAATTAGACAGTATCGATCATATATATGTGAAGAGCAGGTAGCGAATCAAATAACATGAGTGTATATATACAGACGCAACATTCTTAAAAGCCTCTGAAAGGGGAGATTTTCCCCGGAAAAGGGTTTCTTTGGGGGACATACAGATAAAAAATGGGGCTTGGATTTTTTTGGGGGATACATTCTTAAAATGATCATTTTTGAAATGAACAAGGCAAATTATAGGGAGTGTAAAGCCTTTTTAGTGATCAATAACTAAGGTGCTTTTCATCATGTGATTTATTGCAGAATAGTAGTAGGTATGTTGTAGTAAGAAACTGAAAAAATAAACAACACAGTCATAAGGACAAACAGGTAAACAGTACAATACATGCAACTCAGGCAGACTAGTACATATCACTATGTGTTTCATTCTATAAATGTCTCAATAAAAATACCTCTCTTAATACAAACTTGATTCTTATGACATTTTGTAAATAAACAATTAGCTAAACTTAATATGTAATGAGATTTAATGTTTTGACTAGATAATTCGAGTTGACAATACTGATAATCTGTCGTACATGAATTATTCGACTGAATACGTGACATACAAAGACCATGTGCACCTTAACCTTGACATTAGCTACCGTTTCTAAATTTAGACAAAAGTACCGAATCATGTTTCATAAAATTCTACACATACTACAAATGCATACATCTTCAACTTGCACAAGGTTTATAATAAATCACTAAGACATATAATGAACAAGAAAAACTTACTCTATGCGGGACTAAAACAGCCAAACATGACATAAGGCTTGCTGATTTGATGCGGGCGCCATGCCGTACACAAAACACAAACGGAAATAGTGTGTAAAAATCAAACAGATAACGGATTCAACCCGGAAAGCTAACTAAGGGAAACAACTCAATTTCATGTAACACTACACTCCCCGTCTGATTTATCACTCTTTACAAACTCTGCCCTACATTGACACTGATAGCACAAAAAATACTACTTGTATGTAGAAAATACATGTTAAACAAAAATGTCAAAACATGGTACACACAAAGAACGATACATGTAAATCAAGTTCATGTACTACATGGTTACACTGTAATCAAAGGAATCACTTCCGTAGCGGGCCTGATGAAGAGGTATGGCTTTCCTTCCTTGATGATACGTACTTCGATTTTGCGTACCAGACCGTCCGACTCACTTGGAAATACACGGTTTATGATACCAACTGGCCAGTCACCGCGCGCACTTTCTTTGTCATGAAGTAGAACAACATCCCCATCTTTAAGATTGTCTGTTGAATCTTGCCATTTCTGACGAGGTTGTATAGTGGAGAGGAACTCGGCTTTCCATCGCTTCCAAAAAGTGTTAGCCATGACCTGGACCATTTATCATTGACTTCGGTACATGTCCTTGACATCGAGATCCTGGAATTCACTTGGTACTTCATGAGTTTTCTGTGTCAGTAGAATCTGCGGCGATAGAACGAATGGTGCTTCAACATCTGTAGATACAGGCACCAGTGGCCTTGAATTCATTATAGCCATGACCTCTGCCATAAAGGTCGTCAAAACCTCATGAGTCAGCTTCCCATGTTTGGTATCCATAAGCATTGCCTCAAGGATGCGACGGGCAATGCCTATCATCCTTTCCCATGTGCCTCCAAAATGGGATGCGTGGGGAGGATTAAACCTCCATACAGTCCTCTTGTCTGCAAGAAATGTCTTCAGATTGTGGTCTTCCACGTTCACTACATTCATCTGCAGCTCAGCAGCAGCCCCCACGAAGTTTGTCCCTCTATCTGACCTGAATTCAGAGACCGCACCACGAACTGCAACAAACTTTCTTAAGGCGTTGATGAAAGAAGACGAGGTCATCTCCTCAATGACCTCGATGTGGACTGCTCTGCTATACAAACAGGTAAACAACACCGCCCAACGTTTTGAGTGTGCGCTGCCCCCTCTTGTTCGTCTCGTGATGACACTCCACGGGCCAAAAACATCCACACCAACAAAGGTGAAGGGTGCTGACCTTGTAAGGCGGACTTTAGGAAGATCAGCCATTTTCTGACATAATGGCTTCCCTCTCATCTTGCAGCAGGTCACGCAGTGATGAATGATTGATGACACCAAGCGTTTCCCTCCAGAGATCCATAGGCCCTCACTTCGTATAGCACCTTCTGTCAGATGACGCCCTTGGTGGTAGATTTTCTCATGATGATGATGAACCAATAGTCGGGCAACATGGCTCTTGCCAGGTATAAGGATGGGTGTCTTCTCCCCTTCAGGTAAGTCCGACAATTTGATTCGTCCACCAACTCGTAGCAAACCGTCATCAAGGTAAGGAGACAGAGTCAGAATTGTACTGTCTTTTGGAAGGGGTTTTCCTGCACGTAATGCGCATAGTTCTTTCTGATAATACTGCTGTTGAACCTCTTTAATGATCAACATCTCAGTTTCTCGACGAGATATTTCATCCACTTTCCCTGCTTTCTTCCTGATGCATTTCTTGATGAAGGTAATGGCCCTCACAAGGCTCAACCAACTACCAAAACGACTGAAACGTGATGTTCCTAAAGTTGGCTTGGTTGATACTGATACAGTCTTAAGGGTCACTATCTTTGGTCGTACTTCACTATCTTGATCTGGGTTCACCAAAGAAAATGTCTCATTCTGGAAATTGCTTGTATTTACTTTGAGGAAGTCTGGTCCCTTTAACCACAAACTATCACCGAGTTGTTCTGGCAAAAGTCCACGAGTTCCTTGATCAGCAGGGTTTTCATCTGTTGTTACATAATTCCATTGGTGTAGAGAAGAACTCTTACGTATCCTGGAGACACGGTTGCATACATATACATAAAAACGTCGGCGCTCATTCGACAGATACCCCAGCACTACTTTGCTGTCAGAGTAATACATGATGTCCTCTAAGGGTAAGTCAAAGTTCTTTTGAAAGCATCTCACCAAGTTCCACGGCTAGAACGGCAGCACAGAGTTCCAATCTTGGAATCGTGTGTCCACTTCTTGGTGCAGCTTTACATTTGCCGAATACACTGGTAATCCCACAGAGATCTTCTCATCCACGGTTCTACCTCTCAGGTAAGCACAGGCAGCTACTGCTTTTTCAGATGCATCACAAAAGATGTGTAACATTGTGTCAACACACTTGCTGTATGATACAGACAATAGGCACCGGGGAATATGAACACCATCAAGTCTCGTCAATTGTTCCAACCAAAGTTTCCAGGCACTCGTAGTCGCTGTAGGTAAGGGATCGTCCCAACTCTCAATCCCAGTAAATGCTTCTCGCATGATAAGTTTGCCATTTAAGATTATGGGCGCAATGAAACCAAGTGGATCGAATAACCCATTTACAGTGGACAGCAGTCCTCTTTTGGTTAAGGGCTTCTGCTCTTCTGAGGCTGTGTATGTAAAGGTATCTGTAGCTAGGTTCCGACCCAAACCCAAACTGTGGTGTACAGGTAAGTCATCTCGATCCAGGTCAAGCTGTTTCATGGATTTTGCAAGATCCGCAGACGAAAATTGTAGCATCACTTCTTCCCTATTCGATGCAATCTTGTGTAGTTTCAAATTTCCAGCTTCCAGGAGCGTTTTCTGAGTTCGCTTCAGAACATCAACTGCTTCACTAACGCTGGGAAATGACACCAATCCGTCGTCGACGTAAAAGTTTCTGGTAACAAACTGCTTTACATCTTCCTTACAGTCAGTATTTACACAACGTCTAAGTCCATATGTGGCAACCGCCGGAGAAGGTCGGTTGCCGAAAACGTGGACACACATTCTGTACTGTAATTCTTGTTTCGGATCGTTATTTCGATGCCAAAAGAAACGAAGAAAGTCTCTGTGAGGTTCTGCAACGTGAAAACAGAAAAACATCTGCTGAATGTCTGCAATCACAGCAACCGGCTCCTTTCTATCATCCTTTCCCATGTGCCTCCAAAATGGGATGCGTGGGGAGGATTAAACCTCCATACAATCCTCTTGTCCGCAAGAAATGTCTTCAGATTGTGGTCTTCCACGTTCACTACATTCATCTGCAGCTCAGCAGCAGCCCCCACGAAGTTTGTCCCTCTATCTGACCTGAATTCAGAGACCGCACCACGAACTGCAACAAACCTTCTTAAGGCGTTGATGAAAGAAGACGAGGTCATCTCCTCAATGACCTCGATGTGGACTGCTCTGCTATACAAACAGGTAAACAACACCGCCCAACGTTTTGAGTGTGCGCTGCCCCCTCTTGTTCGTCTCGTGATGACACTCCACGGGCCAAAAACATCCACACCAACAAAGGTGAAGGGTGCTGACCTTGTAAGGCGGACTTTAGGAAGATCAGCCATTTTCTGACATAATGGCTTCCCTCTCATCTTGCGGCAGGTCACGCAGTGATGAATGATTGATGACACCAAGCGTTTCCCTCCAGAGATCCATAGGCCCTCACTTCGTATAGCACCTTCTGTCAGATGACGCCCTTGGTGGTAGATTTTCTCATGATGATGATGAACCAATAGTCGGGCAACATGGCTCTTGCCAGGTATAAGGATGGGTGTCTTCTCCCCTTCAGGTAAGTCCGACAATTTGATTCGTCCACCAACTCGTAGCAAACCGTCATCAAGGTAAGGAGACAGAGTCAGAATTGTACTGTCTTTTGGAAGGGGTTTTCCTGCACGTTATGCGCATAGTTCTTTCTGATAATACTGCTGTTGAACCTCTTTAATGATCAACATCTCAGTTTCTCGACGAGATATTTCATCCACTTTCCCTGCTTTCTTCCTGATGCATTTCTTGATGAAGGTAATGGCCCTCACAAGGCTCAACCAACTACCAAAACGACTGAAACGTGATGTTCCTAAAGTTGGCTTGGTTGATACTGATACAGTCTTAAGGGTCACTATCTCTGGTCGTACTTCACTATCTTGATCTGGGTTCACCAAAGAAAATGTCTCATTCTGGAAATTGCTTGTATTTACTTTGAGGAAGTCTGGTCCCTTTAACCACAAACTATCACCGAGTTCTGGCAAAAGTCCACGAGTTCCTTGATCAGCAGGGTTTTCATCTGTTGTTACATAATTCCATTGGTGTAGAGAAGAACTCTTACGTATCCTGGAGACACGGTTGCATACATATACATAACCAGAAGTCTCTGTTGAGACTGTAGCTCTACTGGTTTGTACTTATCAAAAACCATTGCACTATTTTATGTATCTTTGTGTAGTCTACTTATGTGCCAACTTATTTTGAAATCAGACAAAAACTGTAGAAAAAGTAGCGTTTTTAAGGAATTCCACAGAAAATTCTATTTTGAGTAACCATAGCAATACCGTTCATCGAAATCAAAAACCGATGCACTATTCTATGTATCTTAGTGTAGTCTACTTGTGTGCCAAGTTATATTGAAATCAGACCAAAACTGTAGAAGGAGTAGCGTTTTAAAGGAATTTCACAGAAAATTCTATTTTTAGTAACCATGGCAACACCGTTCATCCAAATCAAAAACCGATGCACTATTCCATGTATCTTAGTGTAGTCTACTTGTCTGCCAAGTTATATTGAAATCAGACAAAAACTGTACAAGGAGTAGCGTTTTTAAGAAATTTCAGAGAAAATTCTATTTTTAGGAACCATGGCAGCACCGTTCATCGAAATCAAAAACCAATGCACTATTCTATGTATCTTAGTGTAGTCTACTTGTGTGCCAAGTTATATTGAAATCAGACAAAAACTGTAGAAGGAGTAGCGTTTTAAAGGAATTTCACAGAAAATTCTATTTTTAGTAACCATGGCAACACCGTTCATCGAAATCAAAAACCGATGCACTATTCTATGTATCTAAGTGTAGTCTACTTGTGTGCCAAGTTATACTGAAATCAGACCAAAACTGTAGAAGGAGTAGCGTTTTAAAGGAATTTTACAGAAAATTCTATTTTTAGTAACCATGGCAACACCGTTCATCCAAATCAAAAACCGATGCACTATTCTATGTATCTTAGTGTAGTCTACTTGTGTGCCAAGTTATATTGAAATCAGACAAAAACTGTAGAAGGAGTAGCGTTTTAAAGGAATTTCACAGAAAATTCTATTTTTAGTAACCATGGCAACATCGTTCATCCAAATCAAAAACGGATGCACTATTCTATGTATCTAAGTGTAGTCTACTTGTGTACCAAGTTATACTGAAATCAGACAAAAACTGTAGAAGGAGTAGCGTTTTAAAGGAATTTTACAGAAAATTCTATTTTTAGTAACCATGGCAACACCGTTCATCCAAATCAAAAACCGATGCACTATTCTATGTATCTAAGTGTAGTCTACTTGTGTACCAAGTTATACTGAAATCAGACCAAAACTGTAGAAGGAGTAGCGTTTTAAAGGAATTTCACAGAAAATTCTATTTTTAGTAACCATGGCAACACCGTTCATAGAAATCAAAAACCGATGCACTATTCTATGTATCTTAGTGTAGTCTACTTGTGTGCCAAGTTATATTGAAATCAGACCAAAACTGTAGAAGGAGTAGCGTTTAAAGGAATTTCACAGAAAATTCTATTTTTAGTAACCATGGCAACATCGTTCATCGAAATCAAAAATCGATGCACTATTCTATGTATCTTAGTGTAGTCTACTTGTGTGCCAAGTTATATTGAAATCAGACCAAAACTGTAGAAGGAGTAGCGTTTTTAAGGAATTTCACAGAAAATTCTATTTTTAGTAACCATGGCAACACCGTTCATCGAAATCAAAAACCGATGCACTATTCTATGTATCTTAGTGTAGTCTACTTGTGTGCCAAGTTATACTGAAATCAAACAAAAATTGTAGGAGGAGTAGCGTTTTGAAAAATTATTTACAGACGGACAGACAGACAGACGGACGGACGCCGGACGCATTACTATCGCATAAGCTCTTCTGGTCTCTGACCAGTAGAGCTTAAAACGTCGGCGCTAATTCGACAGATACCCCAGCACTACTTTGCTGTCAGAGTAATACATGATGTCCTCTAAGGGTAAGTCAAAGTTCTTTTGAAAGCATCTCACCAAGTTCCACGGCTAGAACGGCAGCACAGAGTTCCAATCTTGGAATCGTGTGTCCACTTCTTGGTGCAGCTTTACATTTGCCGAATACAAATCCCACAGAGATCTTCTCATCCACGGTTCTACCTCTCAGGTAAGCACAGGCAGCTACTGCTTTTTCAGATGCATCACAAAAGATGTGTAACATTGTGTCAACACACTTGCTGTATGATACAGACAATAGGCACCGGGGAATATGAACACCATCAAGTCTCGTCAATTGTTCCAACCAAAGTTTCCAGGCACTCGTAGTCGCTGTAGGTAAGGGATCGTCCCAACTCTCAATCCCAGTAAATGCTTCTCGCATGATAAGTTTGCCATTTAAGATTATGGGCGCAATGAAACCAAGTGGATCGAATAACCCATTTACAGTGGACAGCAGTCCTCTTTTGGTTAAGGGCTTCTGCTCTTCTGAGGCTGTGTATGTAAAGATATCTGTAGCTAGGTTCCAACACAAACCCAAACTGTGGTGTACAGGTAAGTCATCTCGATCCAGGTCAAGCTGTTCCATGGATTTTGCAAGATCCGCAGACGGAAATTGTAGCATCACTTCTTCCCTATTCGATGCAATCTTGTGTAGTTTCAAATTTCCAGCTTCCAGGAGCGTTTTCTGAGTTCGCTTCAGAACATCAACTGCTTCACTAACGCTGGGAAATGACACCAATCCGTCGTCGACGTAAAAGTTTCTGGTAACAAACTGCTTTACATCTTCCTTACAGTCAGTATTTACACAACGTCTAAGTCCATATGTGGCAACCGCCGGAGAAGGTCGGTTGCCGAAAACGTGGACACACATTCTGTACTCCAGTAATTCTTGTTTCGGATCGTTATTTCGATGCCAAAAGAAACGAAGAAAGTCTCTGTGAGGTTCTGCAACGTGAAAGCAGAAAAACATCTGCTGAATGTCTGCAATCACAGCAACCGGCTCCTTTCTGAATCTCATGAGCACTCCATCCAGACGATTCATCAGGTCTGGTCCTTGCATTAACACGTCATTCAGGGAAATGCCCTCATGTTTGCAGGAAGAGTCAAATACAACTCGTATTTCATCCTTTTTCTTGGGATGGTACACCCCAAATATAGGCAAGTACCAACATTCCTGCCCAGGTTGAATAGGAGGAGCAACTTCAGCATGTCCCGAATCAAAAATGCCTTGCATAAAGCTTACAAAGTGTTCCCGTTTAGTTGGATTTCGTTGCAGACTCCCTTGTAGCATCAGTGCTCGTTTCAGTGCCACAGATCGATTGTTTGGTAGTTTTTCACGGGTCTCCCGAAATGGTAATGGGGCTGTCCATTTTCCTGTTGAATTCTTAGTGAAGGTTTTGTCCATCAGCTCGAGGAATTGGGTGTCCTCTATGGACTGTCCTAATTCGTTGTCATTGGGTTGACGTTTGAACATTGGGTCATTGTCTATACAGGTATTTAGGGTTATATTGTATTCACAATTGTCAAATACACTAAAGCGTCCACTCTGTTGCACTGTGGTTTTCATAACGTTCACGTATGCTGGTGGATGGACATTTCCGATACAGACGTTTCCTATAAGGACCCAACCAAGAGCGAGCCTCTGTGCAAAAGGGGTACCTTGTGGTCCTGTACGTTGATCTTCTATGTGATGTGCTTCTGGCAGGTCCCTTCCAATCAACAACAGAACTTGGGCCTTTGAATCCAGAGGAGGAATCTCCACCTGAGTGGGGTACCTTGTGGTCCTGTACGTTGATCTTCTATGTGATGTGCTTCTGGCAGGTCCCTTCCAATCAACAACAGAACTTGGGCCTTTGAATCCAGAGGAGGAATCTCCACCCCACTCAGGTGTGAATGAAACTGAACTATATCTGGTGTTGCTATTTCACTCTTTTCCTCTGGAATCTGCTCACATTCTGTAACCAACGGAAGCTGTAATCTACAGGAACCGTCGTTTGACTCCACCATAAATCTGAGAGTCTGTCTTCCACTTCGTTGAAAGGTACCAGCACAGGATTTCAGTGAATACGTTGTAACTGAAGACATGGGAATGTCTAAAGCATCAAACAATTCCGGCCTCGCTAGTGTATGAGTACTGTGGTCATCTATCAAGGCGTATACATTGAAGGATCGTTCTGGATGGTCCATTGGGTAGACTTTGACTAAAAGAGTATTGGAGCAAGATCTTCCTGTGAAGTTTTTACCACAGAGCTCGGTACAGAGTGAACTCATCTTTGAACCCTCCCCGTCATGATGTGGCCTGGGTGAAAGGTCGGATGACTTGTTGGATGCCTCCCCGCAATGATGTGACCTCCGTGCAGCATCTGGCTTGGTAGACATATCAATGTGTAGAGCAGTAGGATGATTCTTGTTTCCGCAAATGTCACATTTCACAAGTGCACTACAGCTTGTATAACCGTGTCCTGTAGAATCACAACATTTAAAGCAGAAGTTGTAATCCTTCAGCAGTTTCTTTCTTTCACTTAGAGTCAATCTCTGGAAAGTCTTACACTGATTAAGTTTATGTCTGTTCACATGTAAAACACAGTTGTTTTCTAAGCTGGCACTATGATCTTCTTCTGTTGTTTTCACATTTGTTTTCTTCACCTGAACATCATTCTTGCGATAGGTGTCTTTACGTCGTGACTCAGTAGAAAAACTAGAGCGACTTGTGAAGTTAGCTGCCGGTTCACTCGTGCTTAAGTAATCAAAGCTGGGATTATTACGGGTCTTACTCATTTCCGTCACAAACTGGACCAGGTAGGTAAAGGGTGGATATGTGACTCCATGTTGTGAATCATAACTTGTTGCATGTGTAGTCCATTTTTCCTGCAAATTGATTGGAAGCTTTGCGACAATTGGGCGCATGCCTGTGGGTGAATCCAAGTAGAGCAGGGAACGATTTAGCGCAGGGTCCTCCATTCGCAGCTGCACTTCACTTAGTAGATCTGCTAATTCAAATAGCTTTTTGTTGTCTTTCACAGTCAGTTTGGGGAAATCCAACAATCTTGACTTCAACGAAGTTTCAAGTAGGACCGGGCTTCCATATCTGTCATCCAGGCGACTCCACAGCTTTTCCAAAGCATTCTGTGGGTTGTTGATATTGGCGGTCCGTATGCTGATTGCATGTTTCTTGGACTCGGGTCCTAGATATCGAATCAATAAGTTTAGCTCTTCTCTCGGACTGGCGTTCAGTTCTTTTGTAAGTACGTCAAAGCTATCCTTCCACGACTGATAAGTCTCTGGACTATCATCAAAGGTAACTAAAGACCAACGCAGCAAGTCTTTCTTATTAATGTAATTCGCAAAGTCATTGAGTAAGGCAGGTTGAGGCTGTATCGGATTGCAATGATCGGTCGTTGTAGGCGTAATGACTTGGTCCTCATGAAGTGGTCTTGTTGGACTAGACTGCAGGAGTGCAGGAGTGCCAGTAACTGTTGGAGGATGATAATTCTCCAGGCTTGTATGAAAAACTGGTACGCTCGTATGAACAGCTGGTACACTATCTGTTATTGGCTGATCACTTAAGTATTTGTTAAGAATGTCAGTATTATCTAATTCATTGCTCACAGAAGTCATTTCATCTTCATCCCACATTCTGAATTCCTCTTTCATTCCCAGGTACTCGGCGTCAGCTACTGCAGCTTCCTTTTTCACTGAAAGAACGTCCATTTTGGCCTTTAGTAGTGCCTCTTCTTGTCTCATCTTTGCTTCCTGTTCAGCAAACTTTAGTTTTACTCTGGCAGCTTCTCTTTTTGCTCGTTGCTTGCCTAGAAGTGATGCAGCACTTGATGAGTAGCTGGAGCTTCTTGCAGACTTAAAGCTGCTGGACTTTACTTTTGTCTCTTTAACAACATCTTTATTGTTCACTTTTCTATTGTTCACTTTTCTATAGAACTGTTCAACACGTTCTGAATAGGTGGCTTTAAGTAAAGCCAGTGATGACTGTTCACGAGCACTATCCTCAGTGTTATATCTTACGAGAAAGTTTAATAACTCAGAACTCATGTTATTGTAGGTGTGGTATATGTCTGTTACACGTTCTGTCAATGAGTTTGTGTCTGTTTCTTCATGCACTGATTCACCGAGCAGACTATCTAAATGTCTTCCAACTTTTGTAAGTCTGTTTGAAAAACGGTCCACCTGTGCTTGAAAGTATGCTGCTCCCTTCTCCGACAGGGATCTTTGTTGTCTTGTCTCCATGTTTCCAAGCTCTTGCTGGGTAGATGGAACCTCCATATCCAAATTCAGCTCCTGCTGAGTATCGGAATGATCCATATGTTTAGGTGATCCTCCTGTGGCCATATCTGACTGGAAGTCCTAGATTTCTTACTGTAAAGCCTTTTTTAGTGATCAATAACTAAGGTGCTTTTCAGCATGTGATTTATTGCAGAATAGTAGTAGGTATGTTGTAGTAAGAAACTGAAAAAATAAACAACACTGTCATAAGTACAATGTTACACAGACAAACAGGTAAACAGTACAATACATGCAACTCAGGCAGACTAGTACATATCACTATGTGTTTCATTCTATAAATGTCTCAATAAAAATACCTCTCTTAATACAAACTTGATTCTTATGACATTTTGTAAATAAACAATTAGCTAAACTTAATATGTAATGAGATTTAATGTTTTGACTAGATAATTCGAGTTGACAATACTGATAATCTGTCGTACATGAATTATTCGACTGAATACGTGACATACAAAGACCATGTGCACCCTAACCTTGACATTAGCTACCGTTTCTAAATTTAGACAAAAGTACCGAATCATGTTTCATAAAATTCTACACATACTACAAATGCATACATCTTCAACTTGCACAAGGTTTATAATAAATCACTAAGACATATAATGAACAAGAAAAACTTACTCTATGCGGGACTAAAACAGCCAAACATGACATAAGGCTTGCTGATTTGATGCGGGCGCCATGCCGTACACAAAACACAAACGGAAATAGTGTGTAAAAATCAAACAGATAACGGATTCAACCCGGAAAGCTAACTAAGGGAAACAACTCAATTTCATGTAACACTACAGGGAGCGAATCAAATAACATGAGTATATACCGCCGCAAGTTCTGTTTTTTCTTTGCATGAGAGTCAATTGGACCGTATCGATCATATATATGTGAAGAGCAGGTAGCGAATCAAATAACATGAGTATATATATATACAGACGCAACATTCTTAAAAGCCTCTGAAAGGGGAGATTTTCCCCGGAAAAGGGTTTCTTTGGGGGACAGATAAAAAATGGGGCTTGGATTTTTTGGGGGGGTACATTCTTAAAATGATAATTTTTCAAATGATCAAGGCAAATTATAGGGAGCGAATCAAATAACATGAGTATATACCGCCGCAAGTTCTGTTTTCCCTGCATGACAGTCAATTAGACAGTATCGATCATATATATGTGAAGAGCAGGTAGCGAATCAAATAACATGAGTATATATATATACAGACGCAACATTCTTAAAAGCCTCTGAAAGGGGAGATTTTCCCCGGAAAAGGGTTTCTTTGGGGGACATAGAGTTAAAAAAATGGGGCTTGGATTTTTTTGGGGGGTTCATTCTTAAAATGATCATTTTTTGAAATGATCAAGGCAAATTATAGGGAGCAAATCATATAACATGAGTATATACCGACGCAAGTTCTGTTTTTCACTCGACGAGCTAAATGAATAAATAGCATATAGCATTTATTTCTTAAAATCATATAGTTACTAAACTTCTTATTTTGTAATTGTGTAAAAGGGATCATTTTACTACCGACAATTCCTGACTGAAATATTTCTCGAGTACATATCATTCACTTTCAACCTACACTTCTACGCCTATGAAGGTAGCTAGCCAGTGAACACTTTTAACACCACAGTTTAATATAAAAGAAGAATCACAAAGAATTTGAATATAAACAATAGTATTTTAATAATAAAGCACAAATAAAAGTATATATAAAGGAACACATTCATTTCAACCATTACATGATCTTTGCCATGGCAGAGAGAGGAACAGAACTATCTACAATTTATGGTCCAATATACAAGACATTGTAGGTCCAGCGCGAGAATGGCCGTATTTAATAAGAAGATTATTTTGGACACCACATCTCCGTCACTTCCAAAGAATTCTGATTGTGACATTTGCTTTTGTAAATGGATTAAATTCTGTTATATTTTGGAATGGGTGGATGTCATGCATCTTGCGCGAGATCGAGCAGCAATGAGCCATTTCCATGCACTGTTCAGGTATGTATAAAATTCAATGAAATACTGTAAAATATTAGTAAAACATTAACAATTAAACAAAACATATATACATGACATAAAAAATATTAACAGGTAAACACAACAAATGTTAATAGAAAAGTGAATGATTAAACTGTAAACGAATAAAATTAGTAAAACATTTTAAATAATCATAAATTTCAGATTATTTGAGAACGGAAGGAACTATGTTTTATATGCTTGGAACGTCGCCATGCGACAACATCAATACTTGGACGGTTCAGTAAGAAGA